CTCTCTGCCGTCTCCAAAGCTGGAACATGGGGGGTTTTCCATGCAGGGTGACTGCAGTAGCACAAAACCTGGATGGCAGGGTCTCCACACTTCATGGATGAGCCCAGGAAGTGCAAGGACCTCCCAGGAGCTCCTGTGGGCACCTTGGGAATCATCACCACCTGCCCCCTCATACAGCTTCTCACATAAAGCCCCCCCTGAATCCTCCCCACAGAAATCCAACGGCCTTTTCCTTCTCTCCACCCTTAAGGTCCCTTCCAAGCCAAACCAGTCCGTGGTTCTTTGATCCTAGGACTGCCTTGGAAAATCTGGACACCCCAAAGGTGGGTGATGACCAGCCCTTTTTGGGAACATCTTTCAAGACGATGCTCTTGGCCTTCAAAGCCTTGGACTGCACCTCCATTCCAGCGGGGATGGTCCAAGCAACCTCTTGAGATGGAAAGGAGCAAAAGGAGCTTGGTCTGGATGGGCTCCTGGTTTGAACCAGTACCTGTGTCCCTGGATTTCACTGGGCATTAGGAACAGATGGGATTATTTGCTTTATAGAAATAATGGCCCTTTCCCTCTGTTTCTGTTATCCCCCCTGTTCACTTTGCCCACATCCCAGTGTCCCACAAAAGTTGGATTCATGAAGCCAAACCCCACGTTGCAGATTTAGTCCCCTGAAACTCTCTCAGTGTAACTTCCCAAAGTCACCATCAACCTTTAACTCTCTTTTTTCAAATTCTCCCCTCCTTTTCCTCCTTCATCCAGATCCAAGGCTTTGACATGAAGTTAAAGCTCGGACTGACAAGATCCTTGAAGGTAAGATTGTGTCTATGTGGGAACTTCCTTCCAATATCCACTTCCAAAGCTCGATCCTGCCTCTGAGGTGACTCCAAGTATCCACCATCTGTTCTCCTGATCAGCTCCAGGGTCTTGGATGAATCACTTACACCACGGACTGGAACCTGCAGCCTCTTTTAATTGAACTTTAGGAAGCTTTTTTTTTTAAAAAAAAAAAAAGCAATATTCACTCTTTCAAGGCATCCTGGTCTTTAAACTTCCATGATTTAGCAGGAAATTGTTGCCAGAGCACAAGCCTTTTATTTCTTGGACAAATTTATTTGATTAACTGCTGTTTCCTTGACTGAAAGATTCTGATTTTGCTTAAATGGAGTTATTTTTAGGGCTGGCTTGAGAAGGGAATCATTCCAGTGCTGTAACCATGAACAGTGCAGTGAGATGCACAGTTGATTTTAGCAGTGACAGTGATGCTCTTCCTCGCTTGTATGAGGACAAACATATTGAATTACAGACAAAAAGCACTAATTGGGAAAGAGCTAAAGATAAATGCAGCAAAACCAGCCCTGTAGCACAAGGAGTTGCTCAACCTACAACACAATATTTAATTTCCCTTTTCACTGTTGGCTGCACTACGAACCACCTTGGGCTGACACTGCTTTTGCCACATAATGGGCTCCCAAAAATTTGTGTTTCAAAGGGAATCGTTGCTGTGATTTGTCTTGCAGCACAGACACAGGGATCAAAAAAAAAAACAAACAAACAAACCAAAAACCAGCCTGGTTTTCCAGCTCCTGCTTGAAGGAGGTGCTGCTGGGGGATTAGGCTGGCTTTTGATCGCACTGGTTCCTCACACCAACCAGGAAAAAGAGGATATTCCCTTGCTCCTGACTCCAGGAGAGTTGTTTGAGGTAACTCAGAAGAGTTATCCCAAGTTTTCGTAGGAACCACTACACCTTGGAGCAAACCAGGAGTCAGCCTTCCCGGCCCAGGACCCCTTAGGAATGTCCACCTGGATTTCTGAAGCGGGAAACGCACTTTTTATGGGGTTATGGTTTTCTTATGGCACTCAAAGGAAAATATTGGACATAAAGGGTGACACTGTGTCGTGGGGATGTTCCTGCTGCTCTTGTTCTCAGCAGGATAAATGAGAATAAATAACTGAATCTCCCTGTGTCACCCCCAGAAGCTCATTTTCTGTTGTGCTTTGTCCATGTACGTTACGGGAGACAACGATCATTATGTTGTTGTGACTCATGACATGATTAAAAAGGGTAATTTTTAGACCAATATCAGCAGGAAATGATGCTGCCCAACCCCCCTGACTTTTCTGTGGACAGGCACCATTTAAACCTTCATTTCTGTTGCATTTATTCCTTCAAAAGAGCATTGTCATTCATGTCTTAATATAGGAAAAAAAAACCTCCAACCCCCCCCGAAAACCAAATAAAGGCAAATATTGACATGCTTCTTGTTTTCAGGATTTATCCTACTTTTCCTGAAAAACATTTAGAAGGAAAACACCTTTATAAATAAGCATTTAATGCACCAACTGGGAATTAGGCTGAGCTTGAGACAGGTACAAGTTCCCAGAGCCCACGTGGAGAACCCAGTGGGAAGAACCATTTTGTCAGGACCTTCCCCGGCTCCAATTGGGAGAAACCCTTCTCTTAAACTCCAACTGTGAGATTTAAAATAGAAATACCTGTTTGCTTTCACAGAACCTCCCTGAGGAGCACCCAGAGGGGACTCCACAAACAGGCAGCTCAGACACCCGTGAGGAAACGCCCCTCGGTTCCCTCCTCGCTGTTTGCTCTGAAGTGAAAGCTGGGCAGGCTTTGCTGAACCTGAATCCAAATTAATCTCCACAATCTTCTAGAAAATCTCTATTAAAGCTAAAAGCTTAAAGGCTTAATGTGTGTTTAAAGGGTTTGTGCTCAGCCCAGAGCAGAGCCCACGCTCGGCTTGGCTTTCCTCCCCCAGCCCACCGGGAAGGCCAAGGCTTGGCAATGGCTGAGGGGAGGGTTTTTTAAGCCCTTTTGGTGCAGCAACAGGTTTTGTTTTCTCCCCTGAGCCTGCTTGTTGCTAACCATCAGCTGAGACACCTGGAAAAGGCTTTGACAGTTCCTTTGATGTCACCCCTGAGCTGCAGAACATCCCCGTGGAGCCCCCAGGCCCCTCCAGGGCAGAGATATTTTTATTATTTTATATAAACAACTACTACTTAATAGATATAGTACATAAAATACATGTTTACATAACATAATAATTATTATTTATATTATTGATACTCTTTGTATAATTTCTATTATTATTTTATTTTTCCCTATGTCCCGATTTCCTCCAAGAGAAAAACTAATTTAAAGGTGAATAAATACAAGCTATTTCTTGAGTATATTTTACTGGATGTCCAAGTGAATGTACTGTGCATGTTTTTTTCTGATTTTAGAAGTCTTATGTTTGAAAAGTAGGTCAGGAACAAAAGCAGACCAAGCACGTGACACGGAAGGGTCAAAATTAGTCTGGCCACTTTGGGGGCATCTGTTCCCTCTGCTTTGATGTGGCTGGAGGGAATTATTTTCCCATCCCAAACCCCCTTTTTAAGAGGGTACATCATACTTGGGTCAAAGATTTGCAAACTGGAAGATCTTCCAGGTCTTCTCACAGCGCTTTTCCCTGAAAACCTCTCTCTGGAAAACAGGAGCTAATCCCAGAAAAGCAGCAATAATCACCAAAACGTGGAAAATGAGCTGCCTCCAAACGGAGCTTCTCCTGGGAGAGGTGAGAGGGAGCCCAGAGGGGAGGGATTTTGATCCCATCCCCACCTGTCATCCCTACAAGTCATCTGTGGGTGTAATTCCAGCCCTCCCAGCACTGGGAGGGGGCTGGGGGGGAAATGCTGCAGGGGGGGTGTTCTGATGTGGGACCAGCCTGGGGTAGGAACATCTCAGTAGTGCTGGGATGGCTGAAAGCATCACAGGGACCTGGGCCTTTCCCTGCTCCACAGTTTGGTGACACCATCCCTCGGTTTGGGATCATTTTGCTGCTGAAACATGGCCTGTCCCCTCCCTGCTGTGGCACCTGATTTCATGGAATCACACACAGGTTTGGGTTGGAAGGGACCTTAAAGCTCATCCAGTCCCACCCCTTCCATGTGCAGGGACACCTCCCACCAGCCCAGGTTGCTCCAAGTCCCGTCCAACCTGGCCTTGGACACTTCCAGGGATCCAGGGGCAGCCACAGCTTCTCTGGGCAACCTGGGCCAGGGCCTCCCCACCCTCACAGCCAACAATTCCTTCCCAATATCCCATCTAACCCTGCCCTCTGGCAGTGGGAAGCCATTCCCCCTTGTCCTGTCCCTCCATCCCTTGTCCCCAGTCCCTCTCCAGCTCTCCTGGAGCCCCTTTAGGCCCTGGGAGGGGACCTCTCAGGTCTCCCTGGAGCCTTCTCTTCTCCAGGTGAACACCCCCAGCTCTCTAAATAATAAGGAGTGTTCATTACTGATCCTCTCCAAGGCTTAATTCCCTTAATTTTCAATCCTACCATCATCTCCCAGCCTGCTGAAGGACCAAATTTTGGCTATTTAGCTTTTCTTCTTGTAAACCCAGTGGCTGATGACAAACCCCAGGGAAGGGGATTCCTGGGATATTAGAGATGGCTTTGGAGGGTTTGTTCCAGCAGCACAAACCAAAGGAATGTTTGAGAGTGTTAAGGAGTGAAAGACTTGGCTTCATGTTTTCCTTTTTACTCATCCAACCTGCATTTTCCAGCAAACTCAAGCTTTTTTTTTTTCCCCTAGAAACTCACATTTGACTTCTCGAAGAACACACTTGAAATGGGTTTCAAATTCCACCACAGTTTAAAAACCAGATTTTTCCCAGGGAAAAGGGGGGGGGTGTTATAAAAATGGGTGTTCTCTTACACAGGGAATGCTTGGAATGACTCATGTTAGAGCTTTTCTCTCACACCTTGGCCGTGGGACTCTTTGCCAACGAATAACTCACAAGAGGAATGAAACTAAACCACAGCAAGGCTCTCCCCGCTTTAAGCAAATTAAAATAATAATAATAATAATAATAATAATAATAATAATAATAATAATAATAATATTGAAGACATGAGTAGGAAACAAACACTGCACTCAGGAAAAAACAAAAAGGCAAAAGATGAGGACGGGAGTTGCACTGAATTTGGGGATAAATAAACGAGTGTCATACCTTTTTAAAAATTCCATATACTCAGTATGCTTGATGAGGCCAGTCCTCATCATTATTGTTTGAAAACATTGCCGATCAATAGCCCAAAGTTTCACATTTACGAGAGCTGGAAGACAAAACAAACAAGGGGAAAAGGTGATTAGCAAAGAACGAGTCGGAGCCGGCGAATCCCGCTGGGAACCGAGGAGGGAACGGGGACACGGGACACGCTCCAGCCCGGGACACAGGGCTCAAACAGCAGGCAGCACCCCGGGAGGGTGGGGAACAGCCTCGGGGGCAGGGAGAGGGTGGAAAGGGGGCCTGGAAGCAACTGTGGGATGAGAAGAAATCAGGGAAGGCTGAAGGCGAGCGAGGGACAGGGGAATGTTCGTCCTAACCCGGGACACCACGGGATTTCGGGAGGTTTTAGGGCATTATCCAGCAAAATCAATTTAAGGATTCATTCTACTCCCAAAGGAGATCAGAAATTCTTCCTTGACTTCAAGGAAACTTCCAGAACAGGGACATTTCCAGAACCAAGCCCTGTTATACCTTAATAATTAAACACCTCCCAGTCCGGGAGGTTTTGAGACATTTCTTCTCCCAACTTCAGTTTGTCTCCGCTAAATTCCAAGACTTCCATGGAAATGGTCCAGATTTTCATCTGAGATATTTGCATTAACTACAAATGCCTGAATATATACAGTTTATAACAGTTTCTCCTTAGAGGAACAGTTTAATTAAACAGAACTACTCTCAGGACCTCTACACTTGCATTAATTCAATTTTTCTTTTTTTTCAGAGAGTAATTGCAATAAGTTCCATCCCCTTCTCCCCATTTCATTACAGGAAAGAGCAACGAGCAAACAGACTTTCAGCAAAATATTTACGAATATTCTCACTGATAAAATCCGAGCAAAGCATTTGCTTTGATTTGCTGGTCCTTAAGTTCCCAAACCTCCCACATAATGAGTTTTTTTTCCCCTAACTGCATTTGCAGGGTGGAAAACCTTCAAAGTGCAAATTCAACCGTTCCTTCTAGAATTGCACAGCAGAACTAAGGGACAGCATCACATCCTTTAAAGCCTCTTCTTGTTTTCGAGGCAGAAACTTCTTTTTGAGAAGCATTTCTGGTTTTAAAATTGAACTGATAGGGAAATAATGACCTTTGGTATTTGGAGATTTATGTCACAACTTAGTTTTTCCCTCTCTTCTGAGTGGAAATGACAACTAATATGAACAGGATCTGTATTTTTATGGGGGGTTAACTGTATTCCATAAAATAAGGGGTGTTGATGTTTAGATGAGCTCAATAGACAGGGCTTGGAGCAACCTGGGCTAGTGGAAGGTGTGGATCAAGGGGCTGGATCAAGATGAGCTTTAAAGTCCCTTCCCACTCAAACTGTTCTATGAGTCTGTGAAAAAACACACATATAGACACTGAGAATTATTTTACATATATAATTTTACAGACATCATGCATGCAATTCCATGATCCTTCATTCCATATTATATCTTTCAATAAATCCATATGTACCCCCCCTGATTGCACACACCAGCTCCATCACAAGGCCCAGGCAGCTCAGGAAAAGTGAAGTGCAGACAACACAGTTCTCTATTAATTCCAATCACTCCTCATCCTTTACACTCACATTTGTCCTGCCTTAATGACAAACAGCTGCTTTAATAATGGCTAATCAGGGCAGAGGTTTAAATGTCAGGAAGATCCTTTTAATCAAGCGTGAGCATCGTCTCCTGTTGTGCTTAAAACCCTCTGTCGATGTGTTAGAGGGTTCCTGGAGGAACAGAAGGAATTTCCTAAGATTTGATGCTATTAAAGACTTCAAAGTTATATATTTCAGAGTGCCCTAAGATGAAAAATGTGTCTGTGGGATGTGTAACACAAAGTCATCTCCACCGTGGAGAACCGAGTTAGAGCAGATGCAGACAGAGGTGACACAGAGATTTTCTGGTCCAACCTCAGATTTTCTGTGAAGCTTGATTTGCTGAGAATATCCTATTCCCTGACTGCAGGAACCACAACCACAAAGGAACAGGAGAAATAAAATCCCGGGAAGAGATGTGTCCAAGCCTCTCTGTGAGGGGAGCTTCCTTCCTCGACAACAGCAAATGTCACCCTGCAATCCAAGCAGCTCCACTGGGGGCACACCACAATTAAAGTTTAGTGCCTCTTTCACATTTTTTCATGCTAAAATGCCATAGCTGGGGTTTGTTTTTATTGGACAGGGATGCCCAGGCTTGGGAGCTCTCTCTCTGTATCCAATTTTAGGAGCTCTCCAGCTGAGGGTACTGGATGATGCTCTGCAAGTCTGCAGGACACTTGAATTCCACGTTCAAGAAACAGATTTACCTGACTCTGAACCTCCAAGTGAAAGGGATGTGCTTCAGGGGCTGAAAACAAAGCAAAATGCTGCTGGAAAAACAGGGAAGGGCAGCGAGAGCCCAAGCAAAGGAATCGGGGTTTCACGGCTCAAAACTGGCTGGGGGTGGAGATATTACCATGAAAGTTTAGATCTGAAGTGTTTGCCGTGGTTAAGACTTGATTTCTGCTGCCAAGTTGACGGAAATTATTTCAATCAACCATTCCAGTAAATTCCTGGCACCCCTCTCCACATCAAAATCGATGACTAAAGCAAAGAAATGAATTTCAAAATGCTTTTACAAACCCAAGTTCTTCCAAAGAGAAGTTTTCTTCCTGTTCATTTCTCTGGGGCAGCCTGTGAAAATCTATCCCCTCTAAATAAATAGGGACTGTTCATTACTGAACCTGTCCAGGGTTTAATTCTCCGAATTTTCAACCCTGCCATCATGTCCCATCCTGCTGAAGGACAAAGTTTTGGCTGTTTTGCTTCTTTTCTTCTTTTGGACCCAGTGGCTGAAGGTCATCAGCTCTGGGGTCAGGTCTGAGCTGCTCCTACACCACGTGCAAAGGCACTGAAATAAGGGGGGGATGTAAAGGTTGAAATGAAAATATTTACAGAAGAGCCAGGTAAGTATTATTTATGTTATATGTGTGTGTATATATATATATATATACACATATATCTATATATAGAGAGGTGGTGAAGCCCTTAACATTAAAAGATGCCTTAAATCCTTGAAATCAGAGCAGTGCCCAGCCCAGATTATTTCCAGATTAAATGCAGGGTTCATATGGCCCTGCAAACTTTTCACATCTTCCCAAGTTTTCACTTAGTGCTCAGTGAAGCCTTTCCAAGCTTTTTCAAGGATCACTGGGTGAATCATCCTCAGCTCAAGCATTATCCAACCTGAAACTTATTATTCCCTTGCCCCCCCCAAGCCGGAATTCGTCACCTCCCTTTTGCTTTTAGGCCATTTTATTCAAATAACTCTTTGTTTATCCACCTTCAGGCAAAGAACCAGCAGCATCTTCATGTCCTCAGGGCCTTTTGGACAGACAAGACATAAAATTTCCACTCAAATTTAAACATCCTCCCACCTGGGGTGTGATTTTGCAGGATTATTGTGCCCACTGCCACCGGGGGAAGCAGAGCCATTGCCAGTTGCTTGTGTTTCGTCCTGTTTATCGACCAAAATGAGGATGAAAAACACATTTAACTAAGCAGAAGGAGCACATGGAATTGTTTCAGCTCCTAAACACACTGTGAATCATGGAAGAGGCTCCAGCAGTTCTGGGATGAGGCATGGAATGATGCCCTGGGGGTGGAATGGCTGGAGCAAGAACAAATTGCTTTATTCTCAGGTGTTTCTGTCTCTAGTTTTTAATAAGAGCAGCACTGTGACAATGACTCTCCATCCTGATGCTCCCCAGTTTCCAGCAGGTCCTTTCCCATCGTTCCCCAGGGGGAGTTTTGTCACCTCCCAGGGGGCAAAGAAGGAGCAACTTCACTTTGACCAAGGACAGATGCAGAGACAAATAAAATTCCCACTGGGATAGATGGGATATTGGGAAGGAATTGTTCCCTGGGAGGGTGGGGAGGCCCTGGCACAGGTTGCCCAGAGAAGCTGTGGCTGCCCCTGGATCTCTGGAAGTGTCCAAGGCCAGGTTGGAGCAACCTGGGCTAGTGGGAGGTGTCCCTGCCCATGGCAGGGGGTGGCACTGGATGATCTTAAAGATCCTTCCCAACCCAAATTCCATGATAATCCCAACTTTCCACGAGAGATGTAAAATTTAACAGCATTAAAAAGATCAGACCACATCCCTCAGCCCATGCTAAGGACAATAATCTGAATAAATAAGCAGACATCACGGAGCATCCCAGGACTTTTCTTGCCACAGGAACCAAGTAACCCAAAATCTGCCCCAGAATCCACCTTCACCCAAGCTTTCAAAGAAAACTCCATGTCTCCTGATGGGTTATTCAGGAATAATCTCACCCTGGGTGTTTTTATTCATTGAAATGTTTCCCTAAGGGCGTATATTATTATTTGGTTTGACCTAATACATTGTTTGATCTAATGCATTATCATTTGGTTTGATCTAAAATAACTCCCAGTCTTTTTGGCTCCCAAAAATGTCTCCATCCTCTTCTGAAGGCTTGTAACTCCTCAGCCTTAATGAGAAGGGGTGACAAGGATTAATTAAGCATTAGGAAAGTGTTCAGTCAGGTCAGGTATTTTCCTCGGAATTTCAAAACACCTGTACTACAAACCCCACTAATTAATGTCCTGATCTGCTGTTTTCAAGCTCACTGGTATTTTACATAACCTTCACCATGTCACCTCTTACTCAGCCTGGCTGCATAAATGTAGTTCTGCTCTTCCTCCCTCCCTGCAACACAGAGGTTTCTCTGGGTTTTTAATTAATCCTTGTACAAGCACGAGCTCACAAACTACCTCAGAAATCAAAATTATTCCAGTCCTGAACGTTGAAAGCTGAAATAGTTCCTTATAGTTAAGAGAGAAGAAGTTGAAAGCCCCAAAAACTCCTTCCAGGTCCTGTTTTGAGCCAGATGGAGAGTGATGTGAGATTAATGGAAAGCCAACAAGGGTTTAATGCAGGTCAGAAGCCTCAAATTTAGTTGCTCAAACAACTGATTTAATGCACTGAACACAAGAGAGGGGTTGAGGTAAAATGTCTCCAACTATTTGGGGAAGGAAAAGGAGAAAAGAACCCAAATCTCT